TCGACTTTCCTGTAGTTCTGGGTAATGACCATTTTATATTTTAGTTGTATTTTGTTTAAATTGTTGTGTGCGGCTGCGGCTAGTTGCCTACCCGAGCAGCCATCTTGGATTCTCTTCCAGCTTATATTTTTAACTCATGTTTGAATTCCTCTACTAAGTCCAATACTGAGGCTTTTTAAGCACCAATAAATCTAGGGTAAGTGTTCATGTATGAGGATTTCCTACAGTTATTTTATCTTTTGTTTTCTGTTAGATCCAGGTCTGCATTGTTTCTTTTTAAATTAAATTTATTGGGGTAACATTAGTTAATGAGATTATATGTTTCAAGTGTACAATTCTTTGATATAGCATCTGTATATTGCATTACTTTTTTGTCTGTTGTTTTAGTTTGGTGTGGTGTTCTATAATTTTCCTCTTTTTTGAGTTATTTGTCTCTGTTTGGGATTTCATGTGGTTACCATTAGGTTTGTGAAAAAAAAAGATTCATATGTAAGTAGTCCTTTTTCTTCTGAATGCATCTGATCTCCATCTCCCTTTGCCAATTCAGACTTATCCCCTTTTCCCTTTACGTTTTTCTTGTCAGAGATTATACGTATGTATGCTCTGTGTACAGTAGCTTTTGTCTTCTCTCTTTTTTAAATAGTTTACCTCCTTGGACCCTTTTATGATATTTATATATTTAATAGCCTATTCTGAAGGAGTTTTAATATCCTTCTTCTATCTGCCTGTTGGTGATCTTAATCATAGTTTTGTGTCCTTTTTTTATTTGTTTCAAATAAAATAACCCCTTAAATATTTCCAGTAATGGAGGTCTTCTGGTAATAGATTCCCTCAGCTTCTGTATGTCTGGAAAAGTATTTCTTTCTCCTTCATATCTAAAAGATAACTTGCAGGATATATTATTGTTGGATGGTAATTTCTCACTTTCAGACTTTTATATATTTGATTCCACTCTTTACTAGCTTGCAAGGTTTCTACTGGGATTTCTTTTGTAGGTAATTGCCTCCTTTTTCCTGGCTGCCTTGAGAATTCATTCTTTGTCACTAATTTTTGACAGTTTGAATAGATGTGCCTTTTTGGGTTTAAAGAAAGCCTTTTTGGGTTGAGGCAATTAGATGTTCTGTTTGCTTCTTGTATTTGAAGATCTAGCTCTTTTCATAGGTTTTGAAAATTCTTGTCAATTATTTGTATGAGTAGACTTTCTGTTCCCTTCTCTCTCTCCCGCATCACCTCTGCTATACTTGGTATTCTGATATTACTCTTTCTGTTGAAGTCAGTTCTTGTAGAGTTTTGTGTTTGTTTGTTTGTTTACTCTTAAGTTTCTCTGTTTTTCCATATATGTCATTTCTAGATATATATTTTCAATGTCACTAATTCTTTCCTCTACCTGGTCAGCTCCATTTCCTAAGCTTGCCAGATCATTATTTATCTCTTTTATTGACTTCTTAATCTTTTAATAGCTAAGCTTTTGATAAACAAATAATTTATAGTCGCTTCTAATATTACTCACTAATTTATGAATTATTGATAAAATAGTATATAATAGTACTACTAGATATTTGGGGACATTCAGTTGCTTCTTACAGATGCTTAAGTTTAAATATGCTTAACCTGAGTTTTAAGATGGCAAGATAATTTAGAAGCTTATTATGTCATCATTGATGAGAAGTGAAAAACAATTTGTATATCATTTTGTAAACTAACCAAAAATAGTTTTGGTTCCCATAGCTAGTAAATAATGGATGTTGCCACATTCCCTTGCCTCGTTTTTAAAATGGAATAACAGTGCCTTCTCTACTATTATATTAGCCAGGTAAGTAAACCAAATTCTCAGCTAAGTGATTTATTCTTAAAACCTATTATTTGCTTATTTAAATCATTTTATTGTAATGGGGGTACAAGGGACGGGAGATGAGAGAGAGAGAGAGAGAGAGAGAGAGAGAGAGAGAGAGAGACTGACTTGTTGTTCCACTCATCCATGCACTGATTGGTTGCTTTTTTTTTCCTTTTAATTTAATAAATCTTCATTGTTCAGATTATTACAATAGTTTCTCCTTTTCCTCCCATAGCTCCCTCCCCTCCACCTTGTTCCTAGCACACCTTCTGCCCTTACCCCTACCCCCAATGTCCTCATCCATAGGTGTACGCTTTTTGTCCAGTCTCTTCCTGCACTCTCCCTACTCCTTTCCTTCTAATAATTATCAGTCCACTCCCTTTCTATGCCCCTGATTCTATCATATTCACCAATTTATTCTGTTCCTCAGATTTTTAATTCACTTGATTTTTAGGCTCACTTGTTGATAGATATGTATTTATTGTTCATAGTTTTTATCTTTACTTTTTTCTTCTTCCTATTCTTAAAGAATACCTTTCAGCATTTCATATAATATTGGTTTGGTGATGATGGACTCCTGTAGCTTTTTCTTATCTGTGAAGTTCTTTTTCTGACCTTCCAATCTGAATGATAACTTTGCTGGTTAGAGTAATCTTGGTTGTAGGTTCTTGCTATTCATCACTTCGAATATTTCTTGCCACTCCCTTCTGGCCTGCATAGTTTCTGTTGAGAAATCAGCTGACAATTGTATGAGTGCTCTCCTGTAGGTAATTAACTGTTTTTCTCTTGCTGCTTTTAATATTCTTTCTTTGTCTTTTGCTCTTGGCATTTTAATTATGATGTGTCTTGGTGTGGTCCTCTTTGGATTCCTCTTGTTTGGAGTTCTTTGCACTTTCTGGACTTGTAAGTCTTATTTCTTTCACCAGGTAGGGTAAGTTTTCTGTCATTATTTCTTCTAATAGGTTTTCATTATTTTGCTCTCTCTCTTCTTCTGGCACACCCATAATTTGGATGTTAATATGCATGAAATTGTCCCAGAGGCTCCTTACACTATATTCAACTTTTTGGATTCTTTTTGCTTTTCAGGTTGAGTGTCCTTTGCATCTTTGTATTCCAAATCTTTGGCTTAATTCTTGAATTTCTCTAGTCTGATGTTGGGTCTCTGTATAATTTTTTTTTTTTCAGTCAGTATGTGTTTAATTTCTAGTTGATCCTTTTTCATATCCTCAAGGGTCTGGCTAAACTTATCAGCCTTTTCTAGGAAATTCTTGAGAAACCTTATAACTGTGGTTTTGAATTCTATATCCAGTCGTTTGTTTTTTTCCTCTCCATTTCTTTTGTTTGTTATCTGTTTCCGTGTCTCGGTATTTTGGCTGCTTCCCTGAGTTGGTAGGATGGCTTTGGGTGCTAGGTTTCCTATATGGCCAGTGGGTCAGCCTCCCAGTCACCTGAGGAGACATTATTGGTGCACCCCTTTGTGGACTGCATGTACAGTCTTGTTGTAGTTAAGTCTTGATTATTGTTGGTATCAGTAGGAGGAATTGGCCTCCAGGCCAATTGACTATGTTTATCAGCTGTGTCTATGCCAGGAGACCTGTGCTGGAGACCGCCTTATAGGACCAGACTTACAAAATTGCAAAAGCCTCTGTGCTCAGCTTGGATGGGGTGGAGACTCAGGGCTGAGCAGACAGTCTTGGCTTCCTGACAGCCCTACCCTTGCATGTGTGCCTCCAAACTTCTGCCTTTCTCGGCTCCCCTGAGTTTCCACCTAACAGTCCAGATTCCCCCAGCCTCACCCTAAACTGGGGTTCAGTGCAGTCGGAACTGGGGTTCAGTGCAGTCAGGAGGTTTTGACTCCCTTCTGCTAGGGAAAGCCAGCGACAACCTTAGCAGTCAGTCTTCTCTGTGGTGCGCGCCTCCAGACCCCTGCCCACAGTGGTCTCCCCGAGCCTCCAAGTCTTCATGCTCCTTTCTCTCTACCTGACATTCCAGACTCCCCCATTATGAGCCTGGGTCGATGGGGTTTCACTCAGAACTGGGGTTCAGTGTAGTTGGAGGCTTCCTTCCCTCTCCTGCCAGAGAATGCCAGCCAGGCACTCAGCCGCCCTTCCTCTCTGTGCATGTGTCTCCATATCTCAGCTCTTTCCAGCTTCTCTGATTTTCTGTGAGCTTTTCTCTTTCCTTCTAGTTGTAGAATTTCCACTCAGCCAGCTTTCCTGTGGTTCTGGATGATGTCCACTGTCTTTTAGTTGCAGTTTTGAAATTGTTGTGCAAGGCAGCAATTTAGGTATTTATGCCACCATCTTGGTTTCTCCTCTGATTGGTTGATTCTTATATGTGCCCTGACCAGGGATGGAACCTGCAACCTTGGTGTATGTAGATAATGCTCTAACCAATTGAGCTGCCTGGCTAGGGCATTTTTAAAAATCTAAATAAGAAGTATAAATGTAAATGCAATGACCATTTGAAATGCATATACTTAAAAGCTATGATTTTTTTTCTCTAATTCCAGAAAATAATTTCTCTGTATATGTGAAGCACTAGTTAAGCACAAAAGTTTTCTGGTTTCTTTAAGGTTTCTAATAAAAATATTTTTTTTTAATTTAAGAACCTTTGTTCAACATTTCATACCTTCATTCTCTGCTTTATCTTTCTAACACAAAATACTATATTTTAATTTATTTATATTTATTATTATTTGTTCCCTTTGGCTAAAAAGTAGCTCTTGTGAGGACAGGAATTTTTATCTACATTTTAAACTACTGTATCCCCAGAGCCTAGTTAATGCCTGATACACAATTGACAACCTATGATAATAAATGAGTATTTATTAAGATTACAGTCTCAGTAGTTCTAAGTAGGCAAAAACAGGGGCCTTTCTTCACACAACTACTGAATCTGTTTATATACACTGTTATTATTATTATTTAAATTTTTATTTAAATTATAAAGGAAATTTCTAGTTATTCAACGTCTTGCTTTTTGGAGCAACATTTGGAAATTTTAAGTGTGAGCCTTCCCAGAGTCAAAACAAAATCTTTTGTGACATACCATGTCTCCTTCCTTTGGACCTAGGTAACCTGAACCATGGAAAGCCAAATTTGTTCTTACAAGATGAAAAGGTACAAAATTTCTTCATTTTGGTTTTCTAAATGATTTTTCTCAGGTGCTAAATGTCACATAATCATGGAGATTGAACCACATTGTGATGTCGAAAAGCTCTCTACAATGATTCAGTCTCATATACCACATGCCAACTTGGAAAAGTACTCTGAAGCTGAATTATCATTTGTCCTACCCAAAGAGTATATGGACAGGTATAAATTTAGGGAGTTCTATATGGGTGGTTTGGGTGACCAAAAATTATTTTTAATTTTCCAGGTTTAGCAAGTTTAGTAAGTAGTATTTTGTTAATGAACCAGTTAAGCTGTCATTTGCCAATTAGAGTTGAGAAGTTCACAGCTTAAGATTTCTTTCACTAATTCGGGGATTGCTTATTCAATTCACCTTCATTCAAAGCTCATTTGATGTTTTTCTTTCTTTTTTATTTAATTTATTTTATTTTTAATTACATTTAGTTAGGTGACATTGTTTATTATGATCATATAGGTGTAGATTTCTGTGTTACAAGATCTATATATTGCACTGTGTGCCCACCACCTAAAGTTCTGGCTTTTCTTTTTGAGAGAGGCTTGCCATTTATTTTCTATCGCTTCCTGGTGCTCACAAGAGTAATTCATTATAAGATGTTCATAATAAACAAATTTTATGTATGATAAGATCCAGGGAGACATTAAGATGAAATAAGAAAGTAGCTTCAATTGCAACTCTTGGAGTAAGATTAACAAGGACACTTGTTGGGTAATTATAATTCTTGAGGTGCTGAATAATGCTTTAAAAAAAGTTAGAGAAGCTGCTTAAATGTATCACATCTGTCCAATCCTATATCATATGTATACACATGGCATTGTCAGAAAGAATAATAAGTACACCATTAAGTATAAAATAAGAAATGTAAGGATTTAGAAACAGGTAATACTTTTATCTAAATACTCTGGATATGGAAGGAAAAAAGAAAAAGAATTCCTGAGAAATGAAGAACTAGCCACATTGTTTATTTTCAACACTTTAGATGTGGAGATTCTGGGCCATGGACAGTGGACCTAGTAAGCACAAAATGTAAATCGTGAAGTTAGGGGAAAATATATGAACTCAGAATGAAAGTAATTTTAAACCAAGTGTTGAAGGAGAAAAAACAACTTGAATAAACTGTCCATAGCCTGTTTGTTCTCAGTATTGTTCACTATAGTAAGAGAAGGATAAAACGACAAAGAGTTCTTGGTTATTTTCAAGACTTTGATAGCTTAATTGTTTATTTCTTTGGGCTGGGCACAATTCTAAATGTTTTCCAACTCTGTATTTACATAAAAACAAGGGAGAGATTTGTGGTTCAATCTCCATGATTGTCAATGCCTAAAAGACACAGATTACCAAAACTAACTCAAGAAGAATTTAATTTGAAAATATATTTATTACATTTAATTTGTACTATAAAACATCCCCCCAGAGAAAACTCCAGGACCAGATGACTTCTATTAAACATTTAAAGAAGAAAAAATAGCAATTCTAGAAAACGAGGGAAAAGGGAACATTTCCCAATTTGTTTTATAAGGCCAGTATTACCCTGGTACTAAAACCAGTCAAAGACATTACAAGAATATTATTACGAGTAGTATACAATAATCCTCAACAGAATATATGGACCCTTAAATATAGGTGAATAGGGATTCTATTGAGAAGACTCAAAAGGAAGGTAACAATGACCTTTTCAACCTAAAGCAGTGTTGATTTTTCCTGGTAAAACTATTCTTGGATTCCTTCATGTAACTGCACTACAATTAGCAAAACCTTCATACAATTTACCTATTTGATTAAATCTCTCCAGTGCCCAGCTACTGTTTCACTAATTCTATTTTCTTATGGTTCATACTTCCTGTACTTTGTGAACTTTTTCATTTGATGTAGGAATCACATGTGAATAAATTAAATTTTATTAACACTTCTAAAAATAAATTTATAATTTTAGAAGAATAAAAGAATATATACCAAAGACAAAGTTGCAGTATAGAGAAATTGCTAAGTAAAAATATCTTTTTTTTATTTGTTTCACAATAAGCATTACAGTGAAGAATAATCTAAACATCTTTCCATGGCTAACTATAAATTATTACTGAACAAAACAATACTGAAAATAATTTTTAAAAAACAGCCTAAAACTTGAAAATGGGCAAAGGACTTGAATAGACATTCCTCCAAAGTTGTACAGATTGCCAATAAGCACATGAGATGTTCAACATCACTATTCATTAGGGAAAAGCAAATTAAAAAACAAATACAAAAATAGCAAAGGTTGGTAAGGATGTGGAGAAATGGGATTTAAATCAGTGTATCTGCTGTGGAGAATGGTATGGAGGTTCCTCAAAAAGTTAAACATAGAACTACTAAATGACCCAGCAATCCCTCTTCCAGGTATATACCCAAAGTAATTGAAAACAGAAATTCTAACAGATATTTCTACACCAATGCTCATTATTCACCAAATCCAAAAGGTGGAAACAACCCAAACAACCACTGAATTAATGGGTAAGCAGCATGTATACCCATACAATGAGTATTTTTCATTCTTAAATACTCTGACACATGCTTCAACATTTACAAACCTGGAAAGGATTATGCTAAATGAAATAAGCCAGACACAAAAGGACAGATATCGTGTGATCCCAGCTTACATGCAGCACACAGAACAGACCAACCCACTGAGACAGAAAGTGGAAGTGAAGCTGAGGGAAGGAAGGAATAGTGAATTAATTATTGTGTAATGGGTGTAGTTTTAGTTTGGGATTGTGAAAAAGTTCTGGAAGTTGGGGGTGATGATTTACATCATTGAGAATGTGCTTAATGATGCTTCAATTATACACTTAAAATAATGAAATGGTAAATTTTATGTTTCATATCTATTACCTCAGTAAAATAATTTAAGAAAACAGTAGGAACATTCAAGTGTTTAATTCTATGATACATCATCTGTCTTTCTCATGGTGTTCCTATCACCCGAAGCCCATCTTCTTTCATCGCCATATATTTGACCCACTTCACTGCCCTCCTAGTCCCCTTCCCTCTGGTAACCACCATACTGGTGTCTGTGTCTATGAGTTTCTGTTCATGTATTTATCTTGTTTGCTCATTTGTTGCTTTCAATTTTGTATTTTACGTATGAGTGGAATCATGTTCTTATCTTTTACCTGATTTATTTCCCTTAGAATGATATTTTCAAGGTCTCTCTCTCAAATCAATAAATTTTAAAAATGTGTAAAAGATCCATCCATATTGTTATAGATGCCAGTATTTTATCTTTTGTTATGGCTCAGTAGTATTCCATTATATGTATTTTTTTAAATATTTTATTTACTAGAAAATAAAATGTATCTAGACTAGTGCTTTTTCCTTTCTCCTTGCCTCCAGATTTGAAGATCTGTTTAATGATCTGAAAGAGAATCAGAGTGTGCTGGGAATTATCAACTTTGATGCTTCAATTGCTACCATGAAAGAAGTCTTTCATATGTGAGTAATAATGACCTTAAAAAATTCCCACCACTATCATACACCATTTTGAAGGCAAACTTCACCCTATTTGCATTGGACTAAATTAATTACAGTTATGTATTTTTGAAAATGTTAATATTTATGCTAATGTATTTTTGTATTTTCATCTAAGAATGTGTAAAGATTTTGAACTTGAGCCTTGATTCATATGTCTTATTATGTTAGTCAAGAAAAAAACAATTAAAATTGGTGTTATCATAGGAAAAGTTAGAGTTCTAACTTGGATTCTGAACTAGAAATGACTTTAAAATTTTGACCTAACCATGTTTCCATGATTTATTTAATTTGTACATTATTTTGTTTTATTGACAGTGTTACAGATATCCCCTGATTTCTCCCCCCTTACCACCCTCTTCCCATCAACTAGCCAACTCCAGCCTTCAACACACAATTGTCTGTGTCCATGGGTTATGCATACATGCATATATGCATACAAGTTCTTTGATCTCTTTCCACTCCTCCACCCCCATCTTCCCTCTGAGATTAGACAGTATATTCCGTGTTTCCATGCCTCTGGAGCTATTTTGTTCACCAGATTCCACTTACAAGTGAGATAATATAATATTTATTTGTCTTTCTCTAACTGGCTTATTTCACTCAGTGTAACACTCTCCGGGTCCCTCCATGATGTCTCAAGGGGTAATAAATACTTATTTTTTACAGCTGTGTAGGATTCCGTGGTGTAAATGTATCACCACTCAACTACTGATGGGTCCCTGGGCTGTTTCCAGATCTTAGCTATAGTAAACAATGCTGTTATGAACATAGGGGTGCATACATTCTTTCTGATTGGTGTTTTGGGATATTCTTAGGATATGTTCCTAGAAGTGCTATCACTGGGTCAAACAATAGTTTCATTTTTGTTTACAATGTTATAGTTGTCTCCCATTCACCTCCTTTACCAACCTCTACCCAGCCCAGGCCCAACTCCCAGGTCTTCACCACCCTATTCCCTGTGTCCATGGGCAATGAATATCAGTACATAAGTTTTTTTGTTTAATTTCTCCTCATCTCCTCACCCCCACATTGTGATATGTCTGTCTGTTTCATGCCTTATATGCTTCAAGTCTTATTTTGTTGATCAATATTTTAAAAAATTAAAAATGGAACTTTTGTTTGACCCAGCAAATCCACTTCTGGAAAAATATCCTAAAAACCCCAAAACACCAATCAGAAAGAATATAAGCACTGCTATGTTTATAGCAGCTTCATTTACAGTAGCTAAGGTTGGGAAGCAGTCAAAGTGCCCAGTAGTGAATGAATGGAAAGTTCCTTTTTTTTTTTTTTTTTTTTTTTTTTTTGAGGAAACTCCATACTGTTTTCCACAGTAGCTGCACCAATCTGCATTCCCACCAGCAGTGTACTAGGGTTCCCTTTTCTCAACATCCTCTCCAGCACTTGTTGTTTGTTGATTTATTGATGGTAGCCATTCTGGCAGGTGTAAGGTGAGGGAAGAGTGTTTCACTTAGCGTAATACTCTCCAGGGCCCTCCATGTTGTTGCAAAGGGTAAGAGATCCTTATTTTTTACTGCTGCATAGTATTCCATGGTATAAATGTAATACAGCTTTTTATCTACTCATCTACTGGTGGGAAGTTGGGCGTTTCCAAATCTTAGCTACTGTACATAATGCTGCAATGAACATATAGGAATGCATACATTCTTTCTCATTGGTGCTTCAAGTTTCTTAGGATATATTCGTGGAAGTGGCTTTGCTGGGTCAAATGGGAGTTCTGCATTTAATTTTTTGAGGAAACTCCATACTGTCTTCCACAGTGGCTGCACCAGTCTGAATTCCCACCAGCAGTCCACCTGGGTTCCCTTTCCTCCACATCATCTCCAGCACTTGCTATGTGTTGCTTTATTGAAGGTACCCATTCTGGCAGGTATAAGATGACACTTTGTTGTATTTTTCAATGTGCATCTCTCATGATTAGTGACATTGAGCATTTTTTTTTCATATGTTTGTTGGCCATTTGTATGTTCTCTTTGGAGAAGTATCTATTCCAGTCCTTTCCCCATTTTTAATTTTTTTAAATTTTTATTTATTATTAAGATTTATATATGTCTCCTTTTCCCCCAATTGACCCCCATACAACCATTCCAGGACCAGCTCCCACTGCCCCAGTGTCTGTGTCAATTGGTTATGCTAGTATGCATGCTTACAAGTACTTTGGTTGCTCTCTAACCTTTTCTCCACCTCCCCTACCATTTGTCTCTGGTTCTATTTTTGTTCATTACATTATATTGATCATTATATCTCACATATGAGTGAAATCATGTGATATTTATCTGTGTTTAACTGGCTTATTTCACTTAGCATAATGCTCTCTAGTTCCATCCATGCTGTTGTAAATGGTAAGAATTCCTTCCTTTTTACAGCAGCATAGTATCTCATTGTATAGTTGTACCACATCTGCTGATGGACACTTAGGCTGTTTCCAAATCTCAGCTATTGTAAATTGTGCTGCTATGAACATAGGGGTGCATATTTCCTTTCTGATTGGTGTTTCTCATTTCTTGGGATATAGTTCTAGAAGTGGTATTACTGGGTCAAAGAGCAGTTCTATTTTTAACTTTTTGAGAAAACTCCATACTGTTCTCCACAGTGGCTGCACCAGTCTGCATTCCCACCAGCAGTGCAGAGGGTTCCTTTTTCTCCACATCTTCACCAGCACTTGTTGTTTATTGATTTGTTGATGATAGCCATTCTGACAGGTACCTCATTATTGTTTTGATTTGCATCTCTTGGATGATCAGTGACTTTGAGCATGTTTTCATATGTATCTTGGCCTTCTGTATGTCATCTTTCAAGAAGTGACTATTTAGGTCTTTTGCTCATTTTTTTATTGGATTGTTTATCTTCCTTTTGTTAAGTTGTATGAGTTCTCTATAAATTTTGAAGATTAAACCCTTATCTGAAATAGCATTGACAAATATGTTCTCCCATGCAGTGGGCTTTCTTGTTGTTTTGTTGATAAGTTATTTTGCTGTGTAGAAACTTTTTGTTTTGATGTAGTCCCATTTATTTATTTTCTCCTTAGTCTCCATTGCTCCAGGAACTATATTGGTAAAGATATTGCTATGACGTATATCTACTGTTTTGCTACCTATGGAGTCTTGTAGGATTTTTATGGTTTCTCGTCTTTATTTTTATTTATGGTGTAAATTGGTGATTTAGTTTCAAATTTTTGCATGTTTCTGACCATATTTCCTAGCACCGTTTATTGAAGAGACTGTCTTGATTCAATTATATGCTCTTGCCTCCTTTGTCAAATATTAATTGAGCAAATGGCTTGGGTCAATTTCTGGGTTCTCTGTTCTGTTCTATTCCATTGGTCTATATGCCTGTTCATGTGCCAGTACCAGGCAGTTTTGAGAACCGTGGCTTGGTAATATAGCTTGATATCTGGTATTGTGATCCCTCTAACTTTGTTCTTTTTTCTCAGGACTGCTACAGCTATTGGAGGTCTTTTTTTATTCCATATAAATTTTGGAGAGTTTGTTGCAGTTCTTTGAAATATGCCATTGGAATTTTAATGGGGATTGCATTGAATCTGTAAATTGTTTTGGGTATTCTGGAGATTTTAATGATGTTGATTCTACCAATCCACGAACTTGGTATATTCTTTCATTTGTTTATATCTTCCTCTGTATCCTTTATTTAATCTCCTGTAGTTTTGCGAGTACAGGTCTTTTACCTCCTTAGTTAAGTTTATTCCTAGGTATCTTAATTTTGTTAAGACAATGATAAATTGGATTTTTTTTTTTTGGGTTTTTTGCTTATTTGTTTCCCTTTCTGTGAGTTCATTATTAGTGTATAAAAGGGCCATAGATTTGGAGTGTTAATTTTGTATCCTGCTACATTGCTGAATCCATTTATTACAGTGGTTCTCAACCTTCCTAATGTGTGATCCTTTAATACAGTTCTTCATGTTGTGGTGACCCCCAACCATAAAATTATTTTTGTTGATACTTCATAATTGTAATTTTGCTACTACTGTTATGAATTGTAATGTAAATATCTGTGTTTTTCTGTGGTCTCAGTTCTCAATCTGTGGGTCACAACCCCTTTCACAGGGGTCGCCTAAGACCATCAGAAAACACAGATATTTACATTACAATTGATAACAGTAGCAAAATTATAGTTATGAAGTAGCAACAAAAATAGTTTTATAGTTGGGGTCACCATAATATGAGGAACTGTATTAAAGAATCATGGCATTAGGAAGGTTGAGAGCCACTGATTTATTAGTTCTAGTAGTATCATGTCATCTGTGAATAAGGACAGTTTTACTCATTTTTTTCTGATATGAATGCCTTTTATTACTTCTTGTCCGATCGCTATGGCTAGTACTTCCAGTATTATGTTGAACAGAAGTAGTGAGAGTGGGCAGCCCTATCTTTTCCGGTTCTTAGAGAGAATGAGTTTAGTTTTTGCCCATTGAGTATGATGTTAGCTGTGGGATTTTCATATAAGGCTTTTAATATGTTGAGGTATGATCCCTCTTTTCCCATTTTGCTGAAAGTTTTTATCAAGAAGGGGGTAAGAAGGAGAGATCAATCAAAGAACTTGTATGCATGCATATAAGCATAAGGGATGGATGCAGATAACGGGGTGAGGGTGAGGGCAGGACTTGGAGGGATGAGGAGACAATAAGGGGATAAAGACACATTTGTAATACCTTAATCAATAAAAAAATTTTAAAAGAAAGGCTGTTTGATTTTGTCAATGCTTTTTTCTGCATCAATTGATATGATTATGTAATTTTTGTTTATATGATGATATCATGTTTGTTGATTTTCAGATATTGTACCATCCTTGCATTCCCACTTCATCATAGTGTATGACCTTTCTAATGTACTGCTGGATTCAATTTGCTAGAATTAGGTTGATAATTTTAGCATCTATGTTCTTCAAGGATATTGGCCTGTAGTTCTCGTTAATTGTGGTGTCTTTAACTGATTTTAGAATTAGGGTAATGCTGGCTTCATAGAAAGAACTTAGAAGTGTGCCTTCCTCTTAAATTTTTTTGTAATAGATTGAGGAGGATAGGTTTTAGTTCTTTGAATGCTTGGTAGAACTTCCTGTAAAGGCATCCGGACCAGGGCTTTTGTTTGCTGGAAGATTTTTTATCACTGTTTCAGTTTTTTTTGTTTGTTTGTTTGTTTTTTTTTGTGCTTATTGGCCTATTCAGGTTTTGTGTGTTTTTTAATTACATATGTATCCTTATTCCCCCATTACCCCTCAACCTTCCCCCACCATCATCCCTTACCCTCCTGTTGTCTGTGTCCATTGATTAGGCTTATATGCATGCACATAATTCCTTTGATTGATCTCTACCCCTTACCCCCACCATCCCCTACCTTCCCTGATGTTTGATGTTCTGATAGATGTTTCTAGGGTTTTTTATTCTTCCTGATTTAGTATTGGGAGCTTGTATTTTTTATTAATATGTCCATTTCATCTAGGTTGTCCATTTTGCTGTGATAGAGTTGTTATTTTTTTCATAATCATTTGTATTTCTGTTGGATCGATTTTTACTTCATCTCTTTCATTTCTCATTTGGCTTATATGGGTTGTCTCTTTTTGCTTTTTTGCTAAGCCTGCATAAAGGTTCATCAATCTTGTTTATCCTTTAAAAGAACCAGCTGTTGTTGATCTTTGTTTTTTGGGTGTTTTTTTTTTTTTTTTTTTTTTTTTTTTTTTTTTTTTTTTTTTTTTTTTTTTTTTTTTTTTTGTTTTTTTTTTTTTTTTTTTTTTTTTTTTTTTTTTTTTGTCGCTATGTCATTTATTTCTGCTCTGATATGTATTATTTCCTTCCTTCTGCTTATGCTGGGCTTTTTCTATTGCTCTCTCTATAACTATTTGAGTTGTAGTGTTAGATAATTTATTACCATTTTTTTCTTGTTTTTTTGTTTTTTTGGGGGGGGGTTTTTTGTGGTAGGCCTATAAACTTCCCTCTCAAGACTATTTAAATGTGTCTCTTAAATTTTGTATTATTGTGTTTTCATTGTCATTTGTTATCATGATGCTTTTTATTTCTTCATTGATCTCCTTGATAACTCAATCATTGTTTAATAGCATGCTATTTAGCCTCCAGTTATTTGATTTTTTTTCATTGTTTTTATTGTGATTGATTTCTAATTTTATGCCATTGTGATCTAAGAAGATGCTTGATATGATTTCTATCTTCTTAATTTGAAGAGACTTTGTTTGTGCCACAATATGTAGTCTATCTTTGGAAATGCCCCATGTACACTTGAAAAGAATGTATATTCCATGGCTTTTGGGTGAAATGTTCTGAGGATGTCAATTAATTTCGTCTGATCTAGTGAATTATTTAGGATTGATGTTTCTTTGGTGATTTTTTGTTTAGAGGATTTACCCAGTGGTATTAGTGGGGTATTGAAGTCCCCTACCATGATTGTATTGCTGTCAATCTCTCTCTTAATATACTCCAGAACTATGTTTGTTTGTTTGTTTGTTTGTTTGTTTGTTTAAGTATTTGGGTACTCCTGCATTGGGTGCATGTATGTTTACCAGAGATATATCTTCTTGTTGGAATGCTCCCTTTACTATTATGAAGTGGCCTTTGAGTTCTAAGTCAGATATAAATATTGCTACCCCAACTATTTTTTCATTTCCATTTGCCTGAAAAACTTTTCCATCCCTTCACCATCAGTCTGTGTGAGTCCTTTGTTCTAAGATGTGTTTCCTGTAGAGAGCAGATATATTGGTCATGTTCCTTATCCATTCAGCTACCCTAGGTCTTTTGATCGGGGCATTTAATCCACTTATATTTAAAGTTATTATTGGTAAATACTTGTTTGTTATCATTTTTATTCTTTAAGCCTATATTCCTTCATCCATTCCCTTTTCTTCTTTATTGCATTGCTGCTTTGGTGGCAATAAACTCACTTAGTCTTTTTTTATCTATGAAGCTCCTGATTTCACCCTCAACTTTGATTGATAGCCCTGCTGGGCACAGTATTCTTGGATTCAGCCCCTTGCTTTGCATGACTTTATATATTTCATTCCATATCTTTCTGTCTAGATGTGTTTCTGTTGAGAAATATTTTGATATTCTGATGGGAGATTCTTTGTAGATAACCTTCTGTCTCTCTCTGGCAGCCTTTAAGATTCTTACTTTGTCATTGGTGTTTGCCAGTTTAATTATAATGTATCTCAGTTTAGGTCTTTTGCGGTTCATCTTGTTTGGGACTCTGTGAGCTTCTTGGACTTGTAGGAGTTTTGTTTTTTTGTGTGTGTGTTTTTTTTTCTTGCCAATATCTGGGAAGTTTTCTGTCATTATTTCTTCAAACTGATTTTCTATTTCTTGCTCAGTTTCCTCTCCTTCTGGTACCCTTATTATGCAAAGGTTGTTTTGTTTCATATTGTCCCAAAGTTCCCTTAGGCTCTCCTCCTGTTTTTTAAGGTTGTTTTTTGTTTTTGTTTTTGTTTTTTCTAGTTGCTGCTCTGCCTGGGTATATTTTCCTACCTTGTCTTGTAGCTCACTGATGCAGTCCTCTGCTTCTTCTAGTCTACTGTTGATGGTTTCTTTATTGCAGTGATGTCACTCTTCATTTCTTCTTGGTTCTTCATTTCCTCTTGGTTCTTGCACATATTGTTGAATTTGTCTTCCATCCTTTTCAGCATCCTTATAATCATTGCTCTGAATTATTTCTCTGACAAATTGCTTGCCTTCATTTTATTCACTTCCTTTTCTAGTGATTCCTCCTTTTTTTATATATATGGGAGCTGTTTCTTTGTCTCCCTTTGTTTGCTCTTCTCAGGGTGTCTGGTTATTGAAATGTTGATCAAAAGGTACAAACTTTCAAATATAAGATGAGTAAGTTCTAGAGAATACAGGTCTCCACAATACAGTATGGTAACTATATTTAATAATAATTGTAAATTTGAAATTTTCTAAGAAAGTAGATCACAAATATTTGTTTCATCTCTGTGAGGTGATTAATGTGTTAATTAGCTTGACTGTGGTAAAGATTTCACAATGTATACTCATATCAAAACATAATGTTCTATATCATAAATACATATATAATTTGTATATGTCAGTCATATTTCAATAAAGCTAAAAAATAAAAAATAAAAATAGAAGGAAACATGACCTTAGAAATAAACCAAAATATATTGGTAATTATGTAAATGGATGAAATAAAATTTGAATGCCACCTTTAAGAGAATGTGTGTATGTTTGTGCATGTTTTTGCCTGTTTATACATTTGTTGGGAAAATATCTCATCAGGATTCTTTCTAGCTATTAAGAATTTTTTTCTTCCACTTATTTATATTATCATATTATAATCAATGGAAATTTATTGCCATTGATTATAATATGAAGAATTAAAAATTTCAGATGACAAAACATATTAAATGACTATTTTAGAAAGCATAATAGTCCTCAAGATTAGTATCAAACAAAAGACAACCCTGCAGGGATGTTTTAAAGCAGGGTTTTAATATGCATATGTTATCTTTAAAGGCTACATAAGTCATCAATCCACTCACTACTGGGAAGGTCATAATTCAGAATGATTAATGTTATATTCCATACAAATGCTATGACAGGATTTAAATTACCTTGATAGTTCTATGGTGAAAAAAAATACAACTTTTAAATCATGTATTTCTTACTAAGTGTTTTATTAATTTAGTGTAATTTTTCCTGCCTTCAGTATATTTATTTGTGATATATATTTTCTATTATTCTATTGTACTTAGTACATTTCTTCTCAGATTGTAATTACTTGTGTATCTTGTGTATGTCTCTTTATTCTTCTTAAATATCTATGCCCAAAGACACAGCTTTAAACATAGGCAGTAGTAGCAAATGCAAGAACTTAAAAAAATACCTACTAGCTTATATCCCCATAATTCAATAAAATACATAAGATTGTAATGCTCAAAAAAGAGTTACTATCTTTCATGAAAGGTAAGTTCTTTAACTTGTATAAATTCATCTTAATGCAATATAGAATATATTCAAATATTTTTCTCATGATAACACAGTTCCTCAGAATTATAGGAACTCTGCCATAAATTGCTGTTATCCTTCTGGCCAGTTTAATGGGAGCCCCTGTTACCATGCTGCCTCAAAACAATATTCCAACAGTGAGAATAAGGAAGGAGGGTCCGCATTTGGAACTTTCTTTGACATTCCCCAAAATATTATAGTTTAAGGCTCTTGTCAAAATAAAATGTTTTGTGCTTTTTCCGTGTACTTGTGTGTATGTAGGGTCAATAAACTGGCAGATTCCCAAGTGGACATTCTACCCAGCATATCCTCTTCCTTGGACACAAGGAAGAATAGGATCATGTTCAAAAACTACAGCGCACCAGCTTTCTCCAGACTGAGTGAAATTGCTACAGTTCAATTTAACACTGGGGTGAGCACATTTACTAATAATTTAAACAGTAAGTTTGGTTTGGGTTTGAGATGTACAATTTTAAATATGAACTTTAAAGATGTTTAAGGTTTAGCCATAGAAGACTCAAAAAGATATGATATCCTGATGCAGGAGAAATGTGTTTTAAAGAAAAGACAGCTGCTACTCTTATATTGATATTATTCAGAATCACTTTGAAAAGTACTCACTCATTTTCTCATAAATTTTCCTTGTTCAGATCTAACATAAAACTCAAGATTTATGACAGTTGTGATCCAATGATACTGGTTGATCAGATTAGGGGTATTTTTTTTCCCCACTGTGAATCATAGTTTGTATATTAAAACCTAGAAAAGGGAGAACCAAGATGGCAGTATAAGTAAACACTGGTCCTTGCTGCCTCCCACAACCATATCAAAATTACAACCAGGAGCCGGGGCTCCCCGCAGGCGGGCGTGGTGCAGGTCCTGGAGAGCCTAAAAGGCGTTGGGATGAATGAGCCGCTGGTGGACTGCGAGGGCTACCCCCGCTCAGATGTGGACCTGTACCAAGTTCGAACTGCAAGGCACAACATCGCCTGCTTGCAGAACGACCACAGGCGGTGATGAAGCAGGTGGAGGAGGCCCTACACCAGCTGCACACCAGCTGCATGCTCGAGACAAGGAGAAGCGGAGGCCCAGGAAGAGGCCATGAGCCAAAGCCTGAGCAAGAGCAAGGGCCTCAGCCCCCCTCAGGCCTTTGCCAAAGTGAACAGCATCAGCCCCGGCTGCCCCGTGAGCATCGCGGGTCTGCAAGTGGATGATGAGATTGTGGAGTTTGGCTCCGTAAATACACAAAATTTCCAGACACTGCGAAACATTGGCACCATGGTGCAGCACAGTGAGGGGAAGCCCCTGAATGTGACAGTGATCCTCAGAGGGGAGAAGCACTGGGTTAGACTTGTCCAACACGCTGGGTGGGGAAAGGACTGCTGGACTGCAACATTATTCCTTTGCAAAGTTGATTGTCCCTGAGGACCATATCAGGAAAGCATTTTCTGTGGCCCTAGACTTGTGTGTGTGTGTGTGTGGGGGGGGGGTGTTCTCCCTTCTCTTCTCTCCCTGGAGTTTTAGGATCTGGAAGCCTGAACTTCTAGGTGGTAGAAACGCCATGGCCTCCGGGTGCAATCTTGTGGGATTAAGGCAATGTTCAGACTTGATATGTGCTTAGCATCTTTCTGAATTAGACCATGGCCCCAACTAGGAATCTCTGATGGCAAGAGGGTGGGAGTTATTCCAACAGGTGCTGTCATGACTTTATTCTTTTAGGAATTATTTTCTCCAAATAAACCATTTTATAGTAAAGTAAATAAATAAATAAATAAATAAATTTAAAAAAAGAAAAAGAAAATAAATAAAAATACAACTAAAATACATAACAACTATCATCCAGAACTTTGGGAAAACTGGAAGAGTGGAAGAACTACAACTAGGAAAAAAATAAAGAAGAAAGAGGATTGAGACTCATAGTAGGTGTTGAGACCTGGATGTGTGGAGGTGCAGAATGGGCTGGCATCTGAGTGTGCCACTTTTTAATCAGGAGGGGGATACAAGCTCCTGCATGTCTGAGATCCAGTTCTGGGTGAGAATTTGGGGGACCAGGACACATACTGGGTAAAACTGGACTGTCTGGCATCAGGACAACTTTTTTTCAGATGGAGGTGCATGCAACAGCAGTTGGAACTCTCTGGTGCAAGACTGACTGGCAGCCATTGCTGTTTCCTCTACCTTGAAGATTCCCTAACACCCCACCCAATTTACAACCTTACCCAAACTGTGTGCAGTGGTTTTTACATATGAATGTCCTGTCTAAAACCTGTCAAATTGTAGCTGACAAAATGTCAGGGAGACCCAAATCTATCTAAAGAAGACAAAGGCCAACACTGCAGCAGCCTACCTTGCTTCGCATCTGGGCCTGTCTGGGTACTTCGAAACCCGACACAAAGAGGTGGAATCTACAAATCTCTCTGTAGCTCCTGTTGGGTAGCCCCAGGCAATGGCTGACTTTGCACCTTCTTGGAGATCCAAGAGCCAGTGTACCCAGTGATCCCTGTGAGACCTCACCAAATTACAACTCTTCACACCCATGAGTGACACACTCAAGGGAAGACTCAGTGAGCACCAAAGCCCCACTAAAGCAAGTCCTACCTTATAAGGGTGTCTCCTGCACAGCAGCTCTTCCACTGGAGACACAGGTGGACCTCACAGCCAATTGGCCTAGAGGTAAACACAGTAATCAGCCAAAATGCAGAGACAAAGAAATGTGTCACAAATGAAAGAAAGCAAACTACTGGATATAGAGCTCAAAACCACAGTTATAAGGTTACTCAAGAATCTTCTAGAAACCTCTGAGAAACTTAGTGAGATCTAGTGAGAATGCAAAAAAATAAAATGAAAAAGAACTAGTCAGAAATTAAACATACACTGACTGAAATAAAGAATAATATGCAGGGATTTAACAGTAGAGTAGAGGATCACAAGAATCAAGTCAAAGATTTGAAACACAAGAATCAAGTCAAAGATTTGAAATACAAATATCAAAAATAGCGACTGGAAGAACAAAAAGAAGAAGGAATCCAAAAACATGAAGATAGTGTAAGGAGCCTCTGGGACAACTTTAAGCATACCAACATCTGAATTATGGGGTTCCAGAAGAAGAGAAAGAGTAAGATATTGAAAACCTATTTGAAGAAATAATGACAGAAAACTTCGCCTACCTTGGGAAAGAAATAAACGTACACACCCAGGAAGTGCAGAGAACCCCAAACAAAAGGAACCCAAAGAGGACCACACCAAGATACATCATAATTAAAATGCCAAGGGCAAAAGACATTGAAAGAATATTAAAAGCAGTAAGAGAAAAACAGCTAGTTACCTACAAAGTTGTACCCATATGACTGTCAGCTGATTTCTCAACAGAAACTATGAAGGCCAGAAGGGAGTGGCAAGAAATATTCAAAGTAATGAACAGCAAGAACCTACAGCCAAAATTGCTCTGCCCAGCAAAGCTATCATTTAGAATTGAAGATCAGATAAAGAGCTTCACAGACAAGAATAAGCTAAAGGAGTTCATCACCACCAAACCAGTATTATATGAAATGCTGAAGGGTATTCTTTAAGAAGAGGAAGAAGAGAAAGGTAAAGATTAAATATATATATATATATATATATATATATATATATATATATATATATATACAGTGGTGCCTCGCATAAAGAACGCCTCGCACAGCGAACGCTGCACACAACGAACTTCATTTCATGATTCATACAACGAACTTCGTTTCACACAACGAAGTCGCCCGAGCTTCCACGACTGCTTCGCCCGAGCTTCCACGATCACTGCCGATGTATTGCATCCTTCCGCGCAGGCACTGCAGGCAGTCGTTAGTCACTGCGCTTAACTTAAGCACGTATCGCGGCAATCGTTCTTCATTACGAATTAAATCACGCACGTATCACGGCAGTCGTCCTTTTAAGTTAAACTCAATATTTTTTTATATCATGGCTTCTAAAAAAAGCAGGAAGGTGATTTCTGTTGAAATGAAACAGGAAATAATTAGAAGGAGTGAATGTGGGGTAAAACAGTGTGACCTCGTCAACACGTTTCACATAACGAACTTTTCGCATAACAAACTTGCTCCTGGAACGAATTAAGTTCGTTGTGTGAGGCACCACTGTATATATATATATATATATATATATATATATATATATATATGAACAATAAAGTTACAACAAGTGAATCTAAAAATCAAATGAATAAAAAATCTGATGAACAGAATAAATTGGTGAATGTAATATAATCAGGGGCATGGAAATAGAGTGGACTGACATTTCTCAGGGGGAAGGGGATGTACGGGTGCAGGAAGAGATGGGACAAAGATCTTATATGCATGTACGCAGTACCTATGGACATGGACAGATTTTTAATCTAACAAGAATATAAATATGTTTCTCTAATAAAGATTTTTTTAAAACCTAGCAAAGGATAATACTCTCATATAAGTTTTATAGGAATATTTCCTTTTAAAATGGAAATATAGAAGGATGATTTTTTAATATTAAGTAAAAGAAATTAATAAGATTTTGTTTTTCTAATCAGAAGTACTATATGTATATTAATGAATAAAATCATTTGAATATTTTTCATGCAGTTAGATCAGAAACCAGATTCTAATTATTTCCCTTATTACCTTACACAAATAAAACTTTTCATACCAGTTTGTGGTTTTGTTGGGTCCAATTCAAGGATATATTTGCATTATATGTGTGTATCTTCAATTTTTGTAAAAAATTGAATCGTTTATATTAACGGGTTTCAACATGAATATTGTACTTGAGTCACCAACAATTGTACTGCTATGTTTTTCTTCTCTTTTCAGTTTCCACTTTTCTGCCAGCAATTTTATTGCATGTTTATAAAGAGAGCACTATTCTCTTTGCGTAACTGGAAGGTGATGTTGCTACATATAATAGCAATTGTCTTTGTCACTGCATATCTGTTAACAACTGGAAGCTTACATTCTGAAGTACCCACCAGAGAAATTGATTTGAGACAATATGGTCGAACAGTTGTGCCTTACTCAGTTTCAGGAAAATCTGATTTGGCTATGAATTTCATAACAAACCTTAAGACTTTTCTAATGTTTAAGAAGCAAGAATTTCATGAAACGCAAGGTAAGACCCATGTATAATGATAAAAATGTAATATGCTAATTAGACTGGACATCTTTACAGATGACCTTCCAGACAAAGCCAGGGCTGCAAGGAAATCTCGGGCCCCCAGTGCCTGCAGCCAGGGAAAGGAAGGCCTATTCTTGCATGAAGTTCATGCATTGGGCCTCTAGTAGGAAATAGATTGCTGCTATATGAAGACACATTTGTATCACTTGCAAAAAAGAGATTTAACTATGGTATTTAGCTACCCATTTCTTTCTTTTCCTACAAATGACCTTAAAGGCAGCTAAGTAAGAGGCAAAAAAAAAAAAATGTACACTAACAGCAACTGACTACAAAAGTAATAAATAATTAATGGAGGTGTTTTGGCACTGGGTGGTCTTTCAGCTAATTCTATCACCATTCAGAGGACAGGAAAAATAGCCAAAATACTATGTTGTGAAATTTAGCATAGATTTTTATTTTAACAAGAATATAAATATGTTTTTCTAAGCTCTCATAAGGTGAAATGTTGGTTTTAAAAGGGGAGATTGTTCTTTAATCTAATATATTGGCCATTCTAAAAACAAATGGCTGCCTTACCTGGTTTGGGTCAATGGATAGAGCATTGGCCTATGGACTTAAGCATCCTGGGTTCAATTCTGGCCAAGGGCACATACCTGGCCAGATTTCGGGCTCTGTCCCCGGGGGACGGGGGGATGCAGGAGGCAGCTTATAAATGAGTATCTCAAGTATCTCGAGTATCTCTCATATTGATGTTTCTCTCTCTCCCTCTTCCTTCCTCTCTGAATCAATGAAAGTATTTTTTTAAAATATATAAAAGCAAGTGGCTGAAGACTTAATAGACTAACTCCTCAAACTAAGTTTTTGAAGATAGTATAAGTAACTATACTTAATTTGTTCAATGTTTATTTTCATAAAAACCATATTGAACACATTTTATGCATTTTTATTTTTTATGCTAAAACACTTCTTTTATGTAGTTTATTTGTTATCTATTGTGTAGCAAATTGACCCAAAACTTAGTGGATGGAGAATTTGAATTTTTGGTATGGTGAAATGAACCTCTCTCTAAGAAAAGCAACAAAGTACTTAGAAAACAATATTTCCCCCATTTTTAATCATCTTTATTTTTCAATTATAGTTGACATAATATTATATTACTTTCAGTTGTACACCCCAATGATTAGCCATTAGATAACTTAATAAGTTATCATCCCAATAAATCTTGCACCCACCTGACACCATGAATAGTTATTAGAATATTATTGACTATATTTCCTATGCTATACTTTACATCCATGACTATTCTGTAACAACTAACTTGAATTTCTTAATCCTTTCAACTTTTTCGTCCAACCCTTCAATCACCCTCTCATCTGGCAGTCATCACACTGTTCTCTGCATGAATCTGTATCTGTTCTACTTGTTCACTTGTTTTGATTTTAGATTAAATTGTTGATAGAAATGTATTTATTGACTTTAAAATATATATTTTTATTGATTTCAGAAAGGAAGAGGGAGAGAGATATGAGGACAATTATGTGATATCATAATCAATAAAAAATAAAATATAAGAGTATTGGGAAATAAAAAAGAAAAGAAACATCAATGATGAGAGAGAATCATTGATTGACTGTCTCCTGCATGCCCCCTACTGGGGATCAGAGCCACTACCTGGGCATGTGTCCTTGATCAGAATCGAACCTGGCATCTTTCAGTTTACAGGCCAACACTCTATCCACTGAGCCAAACCAGCTAGGGTTTTATTGACCTTTTATTATTCATATTTTTATCTTTTTTTCTTCTTCTTAACAAAGACCCTTTAAATTTTTATATAATACTATTTAGGTGGTGATAAACTCCTTTAGCCTTTTCTTGTCTGGGAAGTCTGTATATGTTCTTCTATTCTAAATGATAGGTTTGCTGGGTAGAGTAATCATGATTGTAAGTCCTTTTTTAATTCTTTATTATTTAAAGTATTACTTATAGTCTCCTCCCCCCCCCCACAGTTGACCTCTCTCCAGCCACCTCCCCGACACACACATACCCCCTTCCCTGTAGAGTTTGAGTCCATTGTTTATGCTTATACTAGAGGCCTGGTGTACAAATTCATGCATCAGTGGGTTCCTTTGATCAGTGGGTTCCTGGCCTGAGGGATAAAGGACAAAACTGGCTCTCCAACATCCTCTGAGGGGTCCCAGATTGTGAGAGAATGCAGACCAGGCTAAGGAACCCATCAGTGCACACTGGGATTTGGGAAGGACGCAGGAAGTTGGCCAGCCAGGGAGGGACAGCGGGAGGGCACCAGGGTGTGTCCGGCTCATCTCGCTCAATCCAGATTGGCCAGACCCCAACAGCAAGCTAACCTACCAGTCGGAGCTTCTCCAGTGCATGTGGTCAGTGCATGTCATAGCAAGCAGTTCATTAGCTGGCCTTAGCATATCATTAGTATATTATGCTTTGATTGGTTAAATGGCTAACCAGATGACTGGACACTTAGCATATAAGGCTTTTATTATATAGGATGCATGCATTCAAGTCCTTTAGTTGATCTCTTCTCCCTTTCCCTGCCTTCCCTCTGAAGTTTGATACTTCTCTATTTATGGATCTATTTATATTAATCAGTTTATGTTGTTTATTATATTCCACAAAGGAGTGAGATCATGTGATAATTATCTTTCTCTGCCTGGCTTATTTTGCTTAGCATAATGCTCTCCATGTTCATCCATGCTGTTATGAATTGTAAGAGTTCTTTCCTTGCTTTAAATGACTGAATATTTCTTGCCACTTCCTTCTGGCCTGCAAAGTTTTTGTTGGGAAGTCAGCTGACAGTCTTGTAGAAATTCCACTGTAGGTAACTAACTGCTTTTCTTTTGGTGCTTATGAGACTCTCTTTGTCTTTAACCTTTTGAGTTTTAATTATCATGTGTCTTGGTTTGAAGCTCTTTGGGTTCACCTTGTTTGGAACTCTCTGCACTTCTTGAACTTGTATGTTTATTTCCTTCACCAAGTTGGTGAAGTTTTCTGTCATTTTTTTTTCAAATAAGTTTTCAATTTTTTGCTCTTTCTCTCTTATCCTTCCAGAATCCCAATGATGCAAATATTGGTATGCTTGAAGTTGTTCCAGAGGTTCCTAACACTATCCTGATTATTATATATATATATATATATATATATATATATATATATATATATATGATTGATTTTTTACAGAGAGGAAGAGAGAGAGAGAGTTAGAAACATCGATGAGAAAGTGTCATCGATTAGCTGCTTCTTGCACGCCCCCTACTGGGGATGTGCCCGCAACCAATGTGCATGTCCTTGACTGGAATTGAACCTGGGACCTTTTAGTCCACAGGTCGATGCTCTATCCACTGAGCCAAACAGGTTTCAGCTATCCTGATTATTTTTTATTCCTATTTCCTTTTTTCTGTTGATTAGTGTTTTTTGCCTCCTTAACTTCCAAATAGCTGATTTGATTCTCGGTTTTATCTATTCTACTATTGATAGTCTGAAAATTATACTTAATTTCAGTTAGTATATTCTTCATTTCTGCCTGGTTCTTTTTATGCAGTTGAGGTTCTTACTAATTCATTGAGCCTCTTGTAACCAGTGTTTTGAACTCTACATCTAGTAGATCACTTGTTTCCATTCTTTTTAGTTCTCTTAATAAAATTTTGTTCTATTCTTTCATTTGGGACATACTTCTTTGTCTCCTCATTTTAGCAGTCTCCTGTATGTGTGTGTATGTCTATTAGGTAAGACTGCTACATCTCCCAGGCTAATGTGGAAGGTATTCTGTAGGATCTACTGGTATATTCTCTTGATCATCAAAGCTGGGCCCCACATTTGGGTTGTGTCAACTCTCCTATTGTAGTTGAGTCTTCATTGATGTTGGCCCATCAATGGGAGGTATTAACCCTCAGGCCAATCAGCTAAAAGGACTGGATATAAACCCTGACCATCAACCACTTTATTATTAAAAGTGTTACAGATATCTTCTATTATTCCCCCATTGACTTCATTCAACCCACTCCCACTCTACTGTGTGTCCAGAAGCTATGAATATATGCATATAAGTTATTTGATTAATCTCTTCCTGACCCCTTGAAATTAGTCAGTCTGTTGCATGATTCAATCTCACTGGATCTGTTTTATTCATCAGTTTATTTTCTTCATTAGATTCCACATATAAGTGAGATCATGTAATACTTGTTTCTCTGACAAGCATATTTCACTTAACATAATACTCTCCAGTTTCCTCCATGTTGCTCCAAACTTTAAGAGATCATTCTTTTTTAGAGCTGCATAGTATTCTAATATATAAATGTACCAGAGATTAATCCATTCATCTGCTGATGGACACTTGGGCTGTTTTCAGATCTTAATTATTATAAATAATGCTGCTATGAACACAGGAGTGCATATATTTTTTCTGACTGATGTTTCAGGCTTCTTAGGATATGTTCCTAGGAGTAGGATTACTAGATCAAATGGCAATTCCATTTTTAATTTTTCAGGAAACTCCACACTGTTTTCCAAAGTAGTTGTAATGCTCTGTATTCCCACAGCAGTGTATTAGTGTTCCCTTTTCTCCACATCCTCGCCAGTACTCGTCACTTCTTGATTTCTTGGTGATAGCCATTCTGACAGGTGTGAGATGATACCTCATTGTCATTTTAACCTGAATCTCTCTGATGATTAGTGATGTTGAATATTATTTCATATGTCTCTTGGCCTTTTATTATATATGTCCTCTTTGAGGAAGTGTCTATTTAGGTCCTCTGCCCATTTTTTAATTGGGTTGTTTATCTTTCTTTTGTTGAGTTTTGTGAGTACTTTATATATTTTTGAGATGTGTAGTTGGCATAAATGTAATCCCATACAGGGGGTTCCCTTTTGATTAGATGCTGGTTTTCTTTTGCTTTGCAGAAGCATTTTAGTTTGATGCAGTCCATTTGTTTATTTTTGTTTGTTTATTTCTCTTTCCCTGTGAG